AAAAAAAAACCGTCTGTTTTGAAATGGCAAAGTGGAGAGTGGAGGCTCTACACCACTGTGGAGGCGTCTGCGCTCTTCTGCTGGCTGCGGCGAATGCGGCGACTTGGCCGAGATCCGGCAGCCGATGGGCAAGCCGACGAGTCAGGCGTTTCGAGTCAAAAATAAATGGCGTCGGCAAAGCAAAACGCACGCCAGCGCCTTGTTTTCTCCGTGGAGGTCGACGTGTCGGCGAGTCATGGATCTTCGGGGTGAAATTCCTCGGCGCCAAAGTTTGCGTGCGGTCAGCCGCCCAAATGGCTATCCACTGGATGCCGCTCGGATTCCGAAATCTGCCATTTCAACTGCGTGCTGCTCCTGCAGGTCGAGTTGATCCGTCGATTTTCCGTGCATGATGTCAGAGAGCGCGCCTGATCGTCCCTATCAACTTTGTAACCTCCCGGATGGTCCTTGCCTTTACGGCAATGGGGTTGGTGGACTCTCACAATTACAACGGCGCGACGGTCAGACAACGGACTGCATGTGCAGCTGATCTGTTGCCACGGAGCTGCAGGAAATCAGGCTTCCGCGCGGCGATACCGAATCGGCTATACAGGAGCCTCGTGCTCCTCGCAATACCGAGTCTTGGCGGCACACTGGTTTCGCCACCAAGCAGCTGCGCGACCGCGCGGTCATCCTCCACCTCCATATCTCTGGCCGGCCAGACGCGCCGGTCAATTCGCTCGACTCGAGTCAACACGATTTTCAGCTTGCATGGTGTCCGATGTCCGAATCTCCGTGGGGCGCAGCGGATAGTATTCCGCCGTGGCTCACGTGCTGCAGCCAGGTGCATGTCCGCGTCGCACACTTCTACCGCAGCAACTTTGGGTGCCTGTCAAGCTTCGCTGGTTTAGCCGCAATTCAGCATGCCGCTCGAATCGCCCATCTCGTCCCAGGCCGTCTCAAAGTCACAGATGCCGTCGAACACCAGCCCCTGCTCGCCCAACAATGCTTCAAGCGAGTCCCACCCGTCGCCAAATGGCGGTTCGCTCGCGCCCAACTGCACCACGCCGGCTGGCGCCGTAGCCGCACGCAACGCGTCGCCACCTTCGCATGTTTCTCCTGCCTCGCCGCTTTGAACTGATTGAGAGGGATCGGACAGCCCCACCCCCTCCAGCCTGCTCCGCGGCGAGCCGATCGCGATCGGAACACTTGCGAGCTTGGCAGCACTCGCCGAACCCGAGACAGCGTCCTGCACGACCCGCTCCAATGGCGCGCTTCGCTTGGCTGCACGCAGCCGCGCTAAAAAGCGCATCATATCCGCCTTTACCTTGGCCGGAGCCGCTTGGTACGTGGCTTTGCTTCCGCTCGCCTCCGCCTCGGCACGCGGCTGCAGAGCCCGGCTTCGTTCGTCCAGCCATCCGCACACCCATCGGATCCCTCCCCAGAACCGCGATAGCGTCTCGAGTGCCTCCCGCATCATCACAATCTTCTCCCTCAGCGTCTCCTCGGCAAAGCGAGCCTCGACCCCGTCGCTAGCATCGCATCCAGTGGCGCTTGCACCCGCCTCACCCGCCACTGCTCGATTCCGCCGTCCGTTCGCATGCATCACTTGTCGCAGCTCGTCGACCATCGCGATAGCCCCGATGAACATGGCGTGATCCATGTACGGGTTGCACACGATCGTCCGCTCGTCCACCAAGCCTGAAAAAGATAGCATGTCGGTGATGGAGCGCGCCGACGACGCACACTCCGCCGGAAAGCGCGATGCGGCCGACTGAAATGCCTCGGCAAACTCCCTGTCTTCAGTCCAGTCGCCTTTCGTCTGCACCAGACTTGGTCGATGCAATACGCACACGAGCGAGTGGAAGAGACAGTGCATCATCACCAGCACCGGTGCCGCGTCGTTGAGCGAATGGCTGCGCAGATTCGACACGTTGAATCGCACGTCCATCGGCAGCGAGCGGAAAAAGTCGTGCAGCGCTTCCTTCCCGCCTCCGGCCCAGTCGGCCGGCTTCGAAGCCGAGCGGCTGTTGAGCTGGTCGCTAATGTCACCTCGAAGGCCAAGCAGCCGGATGAGATGAGGCCAAGGGTGGCTCACGCCCCTCCTCGCAGGCTCGCGACGGCAGCCATGGCACTCTGCGCTCGTCGGGGGATCAATCTCGATATCGGCTCGCGCGATCGTCACCCTCCGTCCAGCTCCGTACGAGATGACGCGATCCAGAAAGTAGACGGCCCAGAAGGTCAGCCGGTGCACTCGTCTCGTCTCGCCGTCCGAGATCGAATCGAGCGAGTCCCAGTACGAAAGCCCCATGTCTTGGCTCATCCGAATGGCCAGTCCACTCCAGAGCCACGCGCTCGAATCGCGGTCGCTTCCCCACTCGATCCACGTGATCATCACCAACGCCTGGCACACCTTTAGCGATGGCAGTGCAAACATCGGATAAATCAGCTCCTTCGCCTTCTCCGCAAAGGGCTCTGCCCGCACATACCGAGCCACACTCGGAGTGGCCCCGGCATATGACGCAGCGTGCCTTCTCGATTTGGGCGTCTCTAGCCGAGCGCCAAACAGCTGCGACCTCGATCCCGGATCGTCACCGAAGCGACAGGCGAGAGCAGCAATGCAATTCGCCTCCAGCGGTTCGAGCTGGCCTTGCTCGAGCTCGGCCATGATTCTCTCCTCCGACAGGAAAGGGAGATGGCAAGACATGGTCTGGAAGAAGACGCGTATCAGGCGTGCCAAGATGGTTCTGGACGGCAGCGATGGATTCGTGTCGTCGAAGAGCCCCGTGAAAGGCTCCTGGCTCGCTTTGTTCCCCGTCGCTTCTCTCGCCGCTGGAGCTCGGAGCTCTCTCAGCGTATCTGAAGGCTCGCTCTGGCTCGTTTCTGGAATCGAGACGTGATGGTGATTCATCAGAGTCGTCTGCTCGTCTCTCACCTCCACCTCGACGCACCGTGGCCCCGGAGCTATCGCCGTGTTGCCAAAGTATCGGAAAAAGGGAAGAACGACAGGAGCTGGCTGCTCTCGAGCACCGGGATCGTCGTTCGCCGTTTTCCCGACTTGGTCAGACGTGCGCAGGTGAGTAGGAGAAGGGTTTGTTGATCCGTAACCTCTTTCGCATGGGTTCGCGTTGTTTGACCATGATGCCAAGCTTCCGATGCTCTGTGACTTCTGCAGTGCAGCTTCCTGTGCAATTCGAGCGAGGGTATCCAGGGGACTGGGCAGGAATAGGTGGGTAGGATCGGCGGTCTGTTGAAGTGGCTCCCATCCGGCGGGTACCTGCCCCGAACCAGCCGAGCCGGTCACGCTGTTTGCCGGCGATGAATTGTCGGGGCGGTCTGGCACCCGCAGTTGCCGCGAAGAGGCTTCAACGCTCGCGGGACTCGTCAGAAACCGCGCCGGCGATGGCGAAGGGGCGATGAGGCGAGTCGCCTTCAAACCTCTGCTCGAGCCGGCTACACGTGCATCATCGGGACGCTTCAAGGCGTTCAGCCGCAGCCCACCTCGATAGTGACAGCTAGTTGCCTCACCGGCTGCCACGCATTCTTGGCAAGGCAGCGATGCTGAGCATGTGCGGGCTTTGGCCTTGCATGGCGCGCACGTCTTCCGAGTCGTCCTTCGCTTTTTGGACGAGATGGAGTTGGTTGGACTGCTGGCGGGCATGTCGAGACTGAGACAATCGCAACCTAACCCTCTGCACGTATAAGCCGCACGCCTTCTTGCTGCGCTCCCGGGCGGAACATTGTCTCCGTTCGACCGAGTTGGTTGCGGCAGCGGTGATAGTCGTCAATGCATCCTCGGATTTGCGCTCGGCAAGGGACAACCCCAGCCCGACACGCTGTGCCAATGAACCTCCCGCAAAAGGCGAACAACAGGATCGGGAGCCACGAAATCGGCCGACCCAGCGGCCACGCCGTGGAAATCGGTGACTGCGTTCGTGGTGACAGCGGTTGCATCACTGCAGTTGCTCATCTCGGCGAACTGCGCCTTGAAATCACCGACGCCCGCACATGAAATGCAATTGCCCGAAAAGGAAATATCGTCCCTCCCCCGCACGGCCTGATCTGGCGGAGCGTCGGCAATCTAGCATCGGTGCTTGACTGGTCTTCCTAGCAAGGACGTGCGTGCCGTCATGCGCAAGTCATCCTCGCCCTGCTGAGAGATTGGTCCGAGCTCTTGACCACCATACATACTGCCTGACGTGTGGACGCGAACATCCCTCTACAAGTCGAATTTCCGCTTCTGCCAAGATGTCGATGACCATCGAAGACTGCGCTGCTGTGCGCCAGCCGAGGTCCGTGCCCGACACGCCAACCAACGTGCTCGAACAATTGAGCATGAAGGGCAAAGTCGTCGTCGTCACCGGCGCCAGCGATGGCCTTGGGTACGCTGCGGTCGAGGCTGTTGCCGAGGCAGGTGCAGACGTCGCCCTCTGGTACAACTCGAACGACGTTGCCATCCAGAAGGCCGAGCAACTCGCCAAGACCCACTCGATCCGAGCCAAGGCCTACCAATGCGAGGTCTCCCAAGTCGACCACGTTCGCGCTTGCATCGACAAGGTCGTTGCTGACTTTGGCCGCATCGATGTCTTTGTCGCAAACGCCGGTATGGCCATCTCCAAGCCCATTCTTGAGCAGACCGTCGAGGAATACAAGCGACAGATGGAAGTCAACGTCGATGGCGTCTTCTACTGCGCCAAGTACGTTGGCGAGGTCTTCAAGCGTCAGGGCAAGGGAAACCTCATCATCACCTCGAGCATGTCCGCTCACATCGTCAACGTCCCCGTCGACCAGCCCGTTTACAACTCCACCAAGGCTGCAGTCACTCACATGGGCAAGTCGCTTGCCAGGGAATGGAGGGAGTTTGCCCGAGTGAACATTGTCAGTCCCGGCTTCTTTGACACGAAGCTCGGAGCAAGCCCTCGTTGCATCAACGAGGCCTATCGCATGTCGGCGCTCGGACGGCAAGGCCATGTCAAGGAGATCAAGGGCCTCTTCCTCTACCTCGCCAGCGACGCCTCTTCTTATCAAACGGGTAGCGATACCCTGATCGACGGAGGCTACACACTCCCTTGATTGTGTCATCTCTTTATTGTGTCAGCCCAAAAGAAAGGCCAGCCTTATGCATACAAGCGAGTGCAACGAACGAGAATCCGATCCAAGCTCCTCCGATTAGCGTGCGCAGATTGCTCTTCCAACTACGGGAGGAGTGAAGCACAAATGTTCATTCGGCCATAGTCAGAAAGACGGATGCATTACTGAGATTGACTGAAGCGCCAAGAAGAGAGAATCCGCTCCAGTGGATCACGCAGAGGCTTCCTCGGCCGCCAGTCGGATCCTCCATGAGAGCTTGTACGTCTTGAGCGCATCAGCAAACGTACTGAGCGGGCTCGATGGGACACCTTCCGACGAAATCAGAGACTCGACCCCATCGAGACTACATCCCACAAGACATTCAAATTCGGTAAGGAAGGGATCATCTTCAATCTTAAGGATCTCCTCTTCGGCCTTCCCGGGACTTCGGATCGCCAGCGTGGTCGTGGCGTCGTACGCGTTTCGCACGCGAAAGATCCAGCCATCAGCAAGCACCTCTATCTCGGTATCGTACGTCCCTCCTGCTCGCTCGATATTGTGCAGGGAGATAGGTCGGTGTAAGCGCTGGCGGTCAATCTCCAACAGGGAGCGATGGTTTCCGGCCTCGGACGAGAAAGGAGAGAAACTTACCGTGCAAGGCGATGCCGTGAGTTAAGGATCCGATCGTACCCTGATGATACAGAAAGGACAAGGCGGGTGGGTCAGCATCTTCTTCTTTACTAGAGAAGCGATTTGGGTCCTCTGTAAAGCATTCAACGAGATCCAATGTCTCTACGATCTATAGGTCTCTCTACTGACCTTTTGATGCTTCCAGAATGCGCTTGTGACTCGCGGCACTCTTTCGGCTTGAGGAATCTCCGACTCGTCAAATCCCAGTTTGGAGAGAGCGCCGACCGGCTCGAAATGCTGGACCGTGGTGGCTTTGACAGTCTCGAGCAAAGCTTCGTTATCATCGCCTGCCAAGAAGCGGATCAGATCGATGAAATGCGTGGCTTGTTCTACCACAGGGCCACATGATCGTGACTTGTTCCACCAGTCCAGTTTCCGGGCGTACTCGTAGGCCATAAAGTACCTGGCATTGATGCACGTAGGCGTCAAGCTGTTGGCACGCAGCATCTCGCGAACGCGTAGAATGGCCTTGTTGTACCTCAGCATGTACCCGACACTTGTTGCACCAGAAGAGGCGGCAAAACGTGATGCAACCTCGTCGCAGTCGGCGGTAGAGAATGGATTCACCGCAGCTACCGGCTTTTCCACCAAGTACGCCCGTGCTTGTGGGAAGTGTTCGAGCATCTCCAGGTCGGCCCTCTTACCGGACTGCAAAGTACCCCGAAAGTGAGGTGGGCAGCCAAGAATGACGAGGTCCACCACTTGTCCTTGGTCGGCGGCAAGGCTAGAAGCGGCTTCGGAGATCGTACCCCACGCTTCTGCCTTGCTCCACGAAGACCGTACTTGATCATCTGACGAGCCAGCCTTTTCTCGAATCCGTTCAGCAGCCCGGGCCAGGTTGGGATCGATGAGGCCTAGGACGTGGAGCTTGACAGAAGCACTCTTGAAGATCCGCTCCAGTCTAGCCGTATGACTCCACGGTCCCTCCGGCGATCCTGACACGTATCATTGGAAAGGCGTCGAAGTGATGCAGTTCAGCCATCTTGACCTTACGGCTTGTCAGAAGGTCGTGCTTGACATCACGAAGGCAGACACTCACCAAAGTTGATCTCGCCAGCCCCAATGATCACGGTGTTGTATCGGTCCGACATAGCCGTGAGTCGTTGACAAGATCAGTGGGAAAGCAAAGAGATCTTGAAGGTGGTCGTCAGATGGTAATGGTCTGGGTCGCAGTCGACTCTGGATCTTTGCGCCTCTTGTCACCTCCTCTTCCGGGCTGACAGCAACGCCGTGAGCTGCCCTGCATCTCAAACAGGTCCGAGAGGAGGCGATTGACAAGATTACCAAAAAAGGGAATTTCGACCGCGGCGTCTTTGGACCCCGAGTCCGGGGGCCCGCCTCTTTCTTCCCGGTTGCATCTTGACTGCGACCGCACTCGCGAGCCTCGTTGGAGGTCCAGTCGAATTGCAAGGGGAGACGACCTGCAGATGCGCGGTGAGGATCGGCCCGAACGAGTGCATGTGCGTGACAATTGGACGCTGTACAAGCACAGCAAGAAGCTCGTCCATCGCTTGCGACAGACCGATGCCGAAAGGAGGCAAGCACGTACCCATCAGGGCCTGTGTCGATTGGTGGGCTGATTTGGACTAGGCGGCATCCGCGACCTACATCGTAACTCCGTTCAACCCAAGGTGGCGGGCTTCATTTTGTTCCGTGGCACAAGCATTGTAGCATTGTCACAGCCGCAAGTGGCCGGTGGGCCTCTTACACTACCCTCATCTCGGCCGACACGCCTTGCATGTTCGATCGATACAAGATGCTTTGTTTGGCGTCGAGCGCTGGCTGAGCGAACTGGCCATCGCAACGCCTGTCTGGACGTGTGGCTGCGTTCTGAAACTTTCTGCGTTCTCTACCTAAGCACAGCTGACCTCATTGACTCAGGTCGCGCCTTATTTGCCCTCTGGCCAACCGCAAATACACTCTAGACTGACCTTTGTGGACTTGCCCTGCAACGTGGCAGCATGGTCGTGCTTCCACCGCCCACGTTTCTGGGCGCCATGTCGTCAGCCCCGCACTTACTAGAGGTCTTCGCGACTGGCGTGTACGTCGTCACATCCATCATCGTCGCCTCGTACGCGAGCAGTGCCATTAGTCGGCCTGGTGTCAGGGGCTATGCGGAAGCGTGGCGCGTCGGCGCCATCACCTTCTGCCTACGCAGTGGAAGATTCACCTTGACACGAATCACCACCGGCGCTTCGCGCTGGTGATGACTCCAGCATCTATGCATCAGGTACTCCGCTCGTGCAAGCCGGAAATCACAACGACCCAGACCATAGCAAACGCGACGTGCGAGGTGCAAGACGAAACATCAAATGAGATTGCGGCCCTTGCAGCAGACCTTGCAAGCTCTGGCCGATCCTCCGCCTCGTCGGAGCGGCGTGCCCCATCGTTGTGTCGATTCGACCGGCTGAAGTCAGATATCAATGAGAAGCCCATGACAAGCAATCTCCTCGACGCAGTCGATTACGTCGTCCCGCAGACCGGTCTGTTTGGCGAAACCAACGTAGAGGCGGATGACGAGGTTGTCGTTGTAGTGAGACAGGCCGAAGAGAGGTAGAAGGACACGGAACGCAAAGGAGGCAGAGACTAGTGAAGGAGGCCGAGCGGGCCTGACCCCTGGAGGACGTTGCCCGCAACTCCCTGAAGGTCGGCCTTTTGGGAGCCGCCGTTCTGAACCTGGTTGCCGGGCGAGACATGCGAGTAGTCATTATTCTGCACCGACTGAGCCGTGCCTGCGGAACCAGTTGCCGATCCGAGCTGGGAGCCGCCAATGAGCGGCAAAGCAGTAGATGTTGTCGACAGAGCTGCAACGAGGAGCACCACCAAGCTGCTGAAAGTGGCGAACTTCATCCTCTTGTTTCGTTCGTTTTGTTCAAGTTAGATTGGGGTGGTCATGGCTGGGAAATGGAAAAGTCGCAAGATGAGGCATCTCGGAGACAAAGAAGATGAGGATAGGAGGGGGAGGAAGGTGTTGACAGGGTCCTTCAGGATCAATCCGATTCCAGTTCTCATTTCCAGCGGGCAGTCTCTTCGAGATTCGGTGCATCATCGCATGCAAGTAACGCCAAATGAGCATGATGCATGGGCCAAGGTAAGGCTCCGCCAAAGCGTATAATTTGACTCTTGCTTGTTGATTCCGGACGATCATCGTAAGGTCTCCGAAGACTCTGTGGCCGCGCTGATCCTGCACGGAGCTCATCGAATACATGAATCACGTCACCTTGAACTACGATAGAATTTCGGCTATTATGCACATACTAGTGCATTCCACACGACAAAGGCTGCCCGGTGAATGCTAATGTGTCTCTTGAAGCACTGCGTTGCGTTGCTTCAGCCGGACTTGGCATAGAGAAGACAGACTCGTAGAGAGGCCCCCACGGATGCAACAAATCGCAGGCGACGGTTCAGCGTCAAGAAGCCAAAGTGGATACATGGTCTTATGATGGCTTTGTTCCAGACAGCCCACTTGACGGGTCTGAGCTCCGCCACCTAGTCCAAAAGTCGCCCATTGTCCTCGATGCCGATCGGATGCGAAATTTGCCACAGGAATGAGACAATGGCAACATCGAATCGATGGGCGACATAACAATGAGAAGTGGGACAATGGTACAGTGAGAAATGCGGAAGACGGAGGAATGCGAGCATGAAGCTACTATCCACGCCAGAAAGGCTGTCAGGTGGTTCCGACTGAGCCTGTAGGGGAGAGGGCCAAGTGATTGACAGCGATGACACAGTTCCCTTTCGAGCTCCTGTGTAGCACGCATTCCAACGGCACGGGTTTTTTTATTGTTTGTTCACAGGAACCCAGATTTCCGGCTGCGGGTAGCACCCAAGTTCACCGGCACCGAAAATGACAGCCGGGCTGGCCCACTAAGGCCGGAGCGGTATCTGCACCGAAGAATTACAGGACCACACGGTGCTGGCCTACCCGGAGACCAGATGATACTCGTCAAGCATTGTGCCGCTTATGCCGTACAACGTCGAAAAATGTTTATTGCAACATGATGGCCGGAGTCGAAGCTTTTATCGCTGCACTGTTCCGCACTGACTTGCACGCTGCGAGGACAATGCACAAGCGTTCCGATTCATCGCACGACAGGCATGCCTGATGGATGACGAATACTTTACCGCCGAAAGAAGCGTGTGAAGCTCTTGCATGATGTCATTGCATGGCGTTGAAAGAGTCGCAGGGCATGCGTTCGGATGTCTCGTCGATGCAGATGGACGTGGGCGATGGAGACGAATCCCCATCGACTCGCTTCTTGAACATGTGCTCGGAAGTAGCAGTGGGGGCGTGCTGATCTTTTCATGTATAAGCTCAGAGAACTTGTTCACCAGCTCGATCTGGTGTTTCTTGCACGCGGCGCCGCAACCATATCGCTCAACGCTCTATCGTTCAAAGGCGATCGTTCAAAGGCGAACAGCCAGGAACTATCAAAGACGGAATGTTTTTTTTGAAAATGTATAGAAAAGAAAAGAGGTCGCAATACGCTTGATTAAATTTATATGTTGCGAGAAAGGCGTGTTTTCACCAGGCGAAGTGGCTTGCGCACGTCCAACGGCAAAAACCTAGCCTCGGCGAGGCCATTCGGCAGCACAGTTGGAGTAACTTGAGGTGCTGTAGAGATTGCTGATGCCAATGGCGGTAAGCCCTGCTGATTGACTTGTTGCTCGTTGCTAGTTTGCTGCTTTGCTGTAGGCGCAATTCCATTGGCAGAAGCGGGGCGAGCCAGGGTGTCTTGTGTACTTTTCTGAGTGTTCATCTGCTGCTTACTTTGGTCTTGAGGCGCGCCTGCTTCCGAGTCCTGCTCTGCATTTTGGGTGCACTGCTGGCTGCTAGCCTGGGTTGTGTTTCAGCTCGTACTGGCTTCGGGCCGACAGGGATTGCAGGCTGCTGTTGTTGCGGCGATGGAGGTGGCAACGGCCTCGCTGAAGGCACAGCGGGCGTCTCTTCCACTGGCTGCGGCTGCGAGTTTTGTTCTCCTGTTGGGCTACCGAGCGAGGCCTGTGTGTTCCGATTCGAGCTGCGCTGTCTGTGCTGCTCCTGATTGAGCTGTTGTTTATCCGAGTGGCTCATGTCTAAGCTTGGGTAGCACCGTCATTCCAACACGACGGTTGCG